CTACGTCAGATAATAATAAAATCTATTAGATTAATCTTCAATATTCTATGGTCTAAGAACTAATTTATTAGGACTGTTGTGTTGTAAAATGATCAGTTTCTCTAAGTCCGATAATAAAATCTATTAAATTAAACTTCAATATTATTTGGTCTTGGAACTAATTTATTAGGACTGTTGTGTTATAATATGATCAGTTTCTCTACGTCAGATAATAATAAAATCTATTAGATTAATCTTCAATATTCTATGGTCTTAGAACTAATTTATTAGGACTGTTGTGTTGTAAAATAATCAGTTTCTCTACGTCAGATAATAAAATCTATTAGATTAAACTTCAATATTCTATGGTTTTCAAACTAATTTATTAGGACTGTTGTGTTGTAAAATGATCAGTTTGTCTACATCAGATAGTAATAAAATCTATTAGATTAAACTTTAATATTCTGTAGTCTTAGAACTAATTTATTAGGACTGTTGTGTTGTAAAATGATCAGTTTCTCTACGTCAGATAATAAAATCTATTAAATTAAACTTCAATATTCTTTGGTCTTGGAACTAATTTATTAGGACTGTTGTGTTATAATATGATCAGTTTCTCTACGTCAGATAATAATAAAATCTATTAGATTAAACTTCAATATTCTATGGTCTTAGAACTAATTTATTAGGACTGTTGTGTTGTAAAATGATCAGTTTCTCTACGTCAGATAATAAAATCTATTACATTAAACTTCAATATTCTTTGGTCTTAGAACTAATTTATTAGGACTGTTGTGTTATAATATGATCAGTTTCTCGGCGTCAGATAATAATAAAATCTATTAGAATAAACTTCAATATTCTATGGTCTTAGAACTAATTTATTAGGACTGTTGTGTTGTAAAATTATTCAAGAAATGGCCTCCTAAAATTATTTGACGTTTATCTACAAACTATCTCTTATCTTATCTCAGATGCTGCAATACTATACAGGGGAACTCATTGAAAAGAACTATGAAAAAAGAATTACTAAATTTCTCTAAAGAAATTTGCAATTAAAACTGAAAGGAGAAGAAAATGTATAACTCTTTATTACACTGCTGTAACATTTTGACGATATTACTAAGGGGTCAGTTCGATTTCAGATCACCATGGACCAAGCAATGGCCACCGGCTCGAGCTCCATAAACGTACATTCATTACGTTTTCAATACGGAATGTTATTGCAATCCTAAGTCTGTTATTACACCAGACATGGCGGCTTTCATTCTGGCCGGTCGTGTAATAGCCGATTGCGGCAACCCCAATGCAAATATTAAACGATGTCCACTATCTACTCACCCCGAGGGCACTTCTTTATCCTATAGCTGTGTTATGCTTTATGGAGACAATATTCCCTTAACTATCCAGACGTCGCACGGCCGTTATTTGAATTTCTAACCGCGCTATATACACAGCAGATAACGGCAATTGTTATTGCCCTTATTATATTACGGCAATAAGGGTTGGTATTTTTCGTTGCTCCACAGATTCAGTGTGTGCTCTGTTTTTAATTTTTAGACTATTTTTGGCACGCTATCTCCAATTTTCCCATAATATTAAATGATAATTGAAATGAAACCAGACAGTGACAACAGTTGATGGTGGAGAAGAATTATGGTTGTGGCTCCAAAGCTGAATTATTTTGATAATTTTGAGATCACTTTATTTATATTTAGTAGTTCAGTTTTACACTTAAAAAAAGTTGTAATTGGGACAAATTAAATTTATTGGAGTCAATTAAATCGGCGATTTTTATTTGTCGATTTAACCCTTTCCAGCACACATAGGTAGTAAAGAAAATTAAGAAACTGTACTATCTATTTTAATAAAATATGCTTTAAAGTAGATTTATAGAAATCCGTGGTTTAATGATGACAGTAAATAAATATGATACATTAATAACACAACCTCACAAAAAAAAGTTTCGGATCTGGTATTCAGACCCATGTATTTCTATGTATTTTTTTCGGCTGAATCCGAATCTATCTTCAGATTTGGCCCAAGGGTCTGAGTTTTCGGGAAAATTCAAAAATCAGGTCAAAATTTACAAAAAATGTCATTTACGATCGTCAAATTATACTACCAGCTTACTAGACGTATGATTTTTCACTCGTTTAATTCCAATTTATCATCATAGAGTTAGACAAGCTGGTCCAATTTCATTCAAAAACAGAAAATAGATCAAAAACGCCATTTTCATGGCATAATTCGTGTTGCAGAGTTCTGGATCCATCTTTTTATCCACCCACCCACTTATTACCCTATACCCACCCATCCACCCATCTATCCATCTACTTTTTGTGCTGAGAGATGAGATAACAGCCTAGAAGATTGAGAATGCAATAAAACTTGTAGAATACTCTACTTTGTAAACAAAAGAAAACGATATATTTTTTGTGGGGTTGTGTAATAAATCTAAATACCTATTGTTTTGTGCAGTGGCGTAGATACGGGGGGGGTCCAGGGGTCTGGACCCCCCCCCAGAGAAGCCCGTGGTCGTACACCAAAGGGCACATTTGCACGCGGCATCATGACAGCCTTGTTTTATTGCCGTATAAATATTCCTTTGACAGGAATATTTTGTGACCTTTGCGAAGATATGGCAAATTGGTGCAGCATGGTAGCCTGGCTAGATGCGGTTTATTGCGTAGGTATCCCACCCCACCCTCGCAAATTTACTTAAACGACAGGTCGGCACTTGCTAAGCTGACCGGCTGACCAGCCGGCTCCATCTAGACGGGGCCGAACGCCAGATGTAAATTTAATGTGTGTTGGTGTTTTGATGCAGTTACAGTGATTTTAGTCTAAATACTTTAAAATTCAGTAATCTGTGAGTTTTTATTGGATAACAATAATACATAAAATAGGTAAGCCTATTTGTTTTTATTTTATCCAAGGTGTCGGCTTATTATTATTTTAGTTTTTGAGCTACATTCAAGTATTACCTATAGCTATAAAATGTACTTACCCTTTAGGATATTAATTTCGGACTTTTTTTTAGATTTGCGAGAATGTCAAAACGCAAGACATTACAAACACTCGATTATTTTTTGAAATCCCTAACAAATTCTGAGCAATCAGATGCAGAAATACAGACGGACCTTGCTACCCATGAAAGTCAGTCGTCTTCGCCAAGACAACAAATAATGCCATCATGTTCGAACTTTAATAGACCTATTCAGAATACCGTTCTGTTGTCATCTTCAAGTATTTCTGTGCCTGAAAATAAGATGGATACACAATATGTACATCCACAACTACCACACAAACTTGCAGACACAGGCCCCATTAACGATATTAGTCGATTTTGCAATAGAGTGCTGTCTCACGCCGAAAAAATTAATGTTTTAAATAATGTTTGGATTCCAAGTGCAACTTATGTATTTCCTGTAATACTCTCAGGACCTAATAAGAAAAAACTAAAATTTCAGCACACTTGGCTTAGCAAATGGAATTGGTTAGCTTATTCTGAAATTGAGAACGGGTGTTACTGCAAATATTGTGTTGTATTTTCCAAAGCTGGGGCAGGAGTAAATGCCCAAAGTTTAGGTGCGTTGACAAAGAATAAGTTTGATAATTGGAAAAAAGCTATTGGGGTTTTTGAAAAGCATTCACTTGCCCAATATCATTTAAGATCACTTAGTGACGCTGATAATTTTCTTAAAGTTGATAGAAATAATCTTCTTTCCATTGAAAATAAACTATCTGCAGATAGAACAGCGAAAATACTTAAAAACAGACAGAAAATAATTCCTATAATTGAAGCTGTAATTCTTTGCGGTATACAAGAAATTGCATTACGAGGTCATAGAGATTCTGGAAAAATCACAACAGATGACGGTGACAAAGGTGAGGGTAACTTTCGCGCAATACTAAGATACCGAGCTAAAGGGGATGAAATCCTGAAAGCTGCTTTAGAAGGACCAGGCGAAAGAAATAAGTACATTAGTCCTTCTATTCAAAACGAAATTATCAATTCTTGCAACTCATTGATCCTTGAGAAGGTCGTTTCTGAAGTAAATACCTCGAAATGTTTCTCTGTCTTAGCCGATGAGACGGCAGATATTTCAGGAGTGGAACAAGTCTCACTATGTGTTAGATATGTTGACATGACTTCAATCAAAATTAAGGAACACTTTTTACAATTTGTCCAAACAGCAGACCTTACAGGAAGTGGCTTGGCAGCAATTATCATGGACAATCTGCGCAAATGGGGTATCGATACCAAATACCTAAAAGGGCAAGAGTATGATGGAGCAGCTGCCATGTCTGGTAAATTTAATGGGGTTCAAACTCATATAAAGCGCGAATATCCAACTGCATTATATGTACATTGCGCTGCTCATAGCCTTAATTTGGCAGTTTCAAAAGCCAGCGAGGTGTCCGAAATACGCAATTGTTTAGGTACAGTTGGACAAGCCCATAATTTTTTTATATATCCAAAACGCAAAGATGTTTTAAATAGGGTTCTGGCAGAGGCAGAAACAACACCTAAGACAAAAACTTTGAAAGGAATGTGCGCTACACGGTGGATCGAGAGATTTGAGTCCATTAGTGATTTCAAAGAAATTTACCTATACGTGGTTGATGCACTTTCTGAAATTGCAGAATGGGCAGATAGAGACACTGCAAAAGAAGCAAGATCTCTTATGAACAGCATAGCTCAAGGAAACTTTATCACTACATTATTTGTGACTAACACAAAACTTTTGTGTTAGTTCTATTGCTTTTATTATATTTTATGAAATGTTGTTTAAGTGGCAATTAGCAACGTATTTTTCTAGATTCCGCTACATAGTTCGTCTAAATATAAATTATTGCACAAATAATCTTATCATATGCACTTATTACAAGTATACTGGTAGATTTGGAAGTTTTTACTATACCCCTTTCAGTTCATAGTTAAAACTTGTTTAACTACAGAAACTTTTTAGCCCACTTTTTCTATGGGTTTATTATAAACACCTCCCATTGAGCTTATCTTAGCAATTCTTGCCAACATTCAAATCAATCCTTGTTGGGAAAGCTTTATTGGTAGTAGTTGGTTTTGGTCCGATGAAATTTGAAATTATGGGAATTAATAACCAAGTATCTAGGCAAGAGTGATCAGAACTTCCTGACAATTTCTTGAGTTACATCGGTAATGTCAAAGTGCCTTGGGAGATGCTTGGCTATCCTTTAATTTTTTTTGATTTTTTTTTAATTTCCGCTTGAAAAATAGTGAAACAAGTACCAGAGGGTTGTCAACAAACTGTTCCGGTTCCAACTCCCTTTGAAGTTTTAAAGCCAGGTGTTCTAACAGCTATCTGCCTTCAAGAAGTCGACACAAGTCCGGTCAGATTCATTTTTCCCGGAAGGAAAATGAAGGTCAGTTTATAGTCAACTTACTTGGGCGTAACCGTGGTTTTCTATATTCTTCTCCAATCTGCTATACCTCATGGTGTTAGTTCTCCAGAGCAGTCGATGCTTGCTTCAGTTAATGACACCATGTTTAGCTTATATCACCATACTACAGAGCAGAAAGAGATACTAGATCTGATGACCAAGACATATTTTAGTTGTTTAGAACCTCTGTCTCAGGATTTTCCACAAATTCTTTGTGGTGGACTTTCTCCACAACGGAATTTCTTAATGGTATTGGAAACTTGCCTTGCAAATTTTTATATCTGTGTCCTATCTCTTCAGTTTCTCATATTATATTTCTCATCATTTGTGCTTTTCACATAAGTATAAAATTAAACATATATTATTGGCACTGTCAGTATTTTTGTTTACAGTAATTTTTATTTAGTACATTCAGATGAGTATATCCAACTTTATTGAGTCAAGTTAATATCAATTTATTCAAGGTAAAATTAATAAATCTTGTGAGAGTAATATCCATACATGAAACAGAAGAAAAACAAAGGAGAATTTTAATAAATTTAATTCCAAATCCATGCGTACTGAATTTACGTGCCTCTGCCGTGGATTTTCGAATTTATAAGGCAAAGAAAACAAGCGAGGGCGGAAAACAGGGAGGCAGTATATAAAATTAATTATTTTTTATTATTTAAGGCGATATTGCTAAGTGCGCCCTAAACTTATTAAGGTCTGTTTGCTTTTGCCCAAGATTAAAAATGATTTGTATTATGATTTACTTTGTCCCACCTCCCGTCGCACAAAAGGAGCTCCGCGAAAAAAACGGAAACATAAGAGACTTACTGGAATTAGAATTAAAATTAATTCATCGCTGCCGCCCGAGTTGTTTTTATTTAGGAATTTATTACAAATGTGCTCCTGTATGTTTTTAATTTGGCGAAGGCGAGCGATCGTTTAAATTAAATTGAAAAAAGGCTCTGAAAGGAGGTTCCTATTATGATTTTTAATGAAGCCCTTTGATATACGGCGGTGCAGAAAGTGTATGAGCTCCGATTAATTTTGATGTGATTGATCTTTCTATAGATATTAAAAAAAGTAAGATATTATTTGTAAAAAAATACTATACAAAAGTGTAGACAGTCTTGTTGAATAATTTTGTCTAAACCAGTGCCAGAGCAAATTTGTAGATAATTATTTGACTAAAAGTAGAAAGCAAAATTCATATAAACAAGGCGAAAGCTTCAATTTTGAGGTACAGAGTAATAAAGTTGCATAATATTCTTAGTTATAATAATAAGAATAATATGCCTTTATTTTCATATAAACAAATTATTGAACATAATCATATGGCGAGATCTAGCAGAGCTACTCATTATAACCGCCAGCTTTAAACAAAAAAAATATACACAGAGTAAATAAACACTACTATATTCTAAGTGTAACAATGTGTTTCTTAATTGCAGTTTTAAAACTAGTCACAGTGGAGCAAGAGGTAACATTTACAGGTAAAGGATTTCAAAGTTTTACAGCATTGTAACTGAAAGAGCGTTGAAATATTGCAGAACAGTGTCTTGGCATGACCAATTTGTTACAGTGACGAGTAATTCTAAGATGCATGCTTGTACCACGAATTAGTTTATCACGAAAATAGTAAAGTTGTTCCCAAGTGATACCTAACCTTGTATATTAAATTATCCAAATGTACAATAAATCGCTCCTCNAGAACAGTGTCTTGGCATGACCAATTTGTTACAGTGACGAGTAATTCTAAGATGCATGCTTGTACCACGAATTAGTTTATCACGAAAATAGTAAAGTTGTTCCCAAGTGATACCTAACCTTGTATATTAAATTATCCAAATGTACAATAAATCGCTCCTCCAGTTTTAACCAATTAGAAGAATCAAAAAGTGGTATAACATGATCATACTTTCGAATACCGCAACAGAATTTTAAACAAGCATTTTGTAATTTCTGGAGGCTGTTTTTGTCTTTGACAGTAAGCGCTGGCCAGTTCAGAGTATCGCAGTATGCTAGCTAGAGTTGAAAGAATGAATGTGTAGGTGAGTTTAAATTTAATTTAGAGAATTTTGAGTTTATAATAACATTTCTGTAATAAATGTGCCACATACCTTAGACGAGAATCGACACACTCCTAGATTTTTTACACATGTCGTGGAGATTAGGTCAACCTGTAGTGATTGTCGTATTAGCTGTAGCGATGGTCTTACTACTTATCTTTGCATGTGAGATTTATTTACTTTTATCAGATCAGCTAGGGTCTGTGGTAGCTAAGGAAAATTATTGACAAAAAAACAAGATTTTGTATTAACAGAAAAATAAAACATAAAATCATTTTTTCGGCAACCGTCCGGGAAGTGGCTACTTCCCGGACGCTTTTTCTTTGAGAAAGTAGCATTTTTTCGGCTTAGTCCGGGAAGTACGCACTTTCCGGACTAGGCCGGGAAGAATCACATCGTTGTTGTCATTGTGAATATGAAAATCTTGGAAGGTATGATTTTGATAAATGCAGTTGAACATTACCATAGCAACGAAACGACTGACAGCTATCTGAAGTCAAATTAGTTGACATTTTAATTTTCGAAAGTTTGCATGGTTTTTGGTCGCAATTGTCGCAATAAACTATGGAAAGCAACAGCGATAGTGAGTTTGAAAATGTGCCTTACGAANGAAAAACTTTCCGGTTACGTAGACTTTGGCAGTAGTTGTAACACTATAAAATTAAGTGCTGTTTATAAATTGGGACTTGAAATAAAAACTAATGACAGTAACAGTGTTATCATAGGTTACGGTGGTGCTACAGTTAAACCATTTGGCACTGTATCCGTCGAAATTGAGATAGATTATATTAAATTAGTTACGAATTTCTTTGTTGTGTCTAATACGTTACAAAAAACCGATGTATTAATAGGTCAGCCAGTTACTGAGGACGACAACGTCTTTGTTTATAAAACTCCCGAGATGTTGACATTAACAGAGCGCAATATATTTCATAATTTACATTTTGAGGCGGATACAAATAATACACTGAAATTAATTAAAAAAAAATTAATTGCACAGCAGCGTATTTTCATTCAGCCGGGTGTTAATATTGTTCCTATAAAAACAGAGATGGTTCATGTCGAAATACAAACACGTCATTCAGAACAATGCCGAAATGGATCAACTATAATAGTTCCTTCTAAGATTACGCGATTACAGAATGGAGAAGGGCTCCTAAAAATTATGAATTTATGTCTGCAAACAATAAACATTCCTGAAAACACTTGCCTGGCACGAGGACTGACTTGTAGTGCAACCAATAACAGCGAATTAGATGATGGAGTGCGTCAAATTCTCAATTTATATCCCGAATGTTATGGCAAAAATGTTTCACTTTTAAGTAACGTAAATATCGAAATGCATATACAGCTTACTTCACCAATACCGGTCAGTTACAAACCCTACCGTTTATCGCTTTACGAGCGTGAAATAGTACAGGGAATCGTGAAAGACTTGTTGGAAAAGGGTATAATTGAACCTACAACTTCACCATATAGCAGTCCCATCTTACTTGTAAAAAAGAAANTAATGCTAAAGGTAATTTTAACAAAATATTACGATTGTAGGATATAAAAGTATCAACTTAATTTGCTTCATTTTCAGGTAGCAACAATTATTGGGTTAGCCGGTGCGTGTAGACGGGAAGAACTAACAAAAATGTCAATTGATCTAATAAACGACAAAGAAGATATGTTGCTCGTGAAAATACCAGATTCTAAAACACATATTGAGAGAAATTTTGTTGTAATTGGGCAAGAAAACCTGCTGTTGTATAGGCAATATTTATCTTTACGGCCATCCCATACTCCACATAACAGATTATTCGTGAATTACAAAAAAGGAAAATGTTCGATTCAGCCCGTTGGTATCCACAGTTTTGGGAATCTCGGATTAAGAATTGCAGAATTTTTAAATTTACCCAATCCTAAAAATTACACAGGCCATAGCATGCGTCGAACTTCAGCGACGATATTTGCTGATAATGGTGGAAACATCACAAATTTGAAGAGACACGGTGGCTGGAAGTCTACCAATGTCGCTGAAGGATATATAGACAATTCACTAACAAACAAAATTAAAATTGCCAAGACCATTCAAAAATTATCAGATGAAAACAATCAATATGAAACGGAAACTTTACCTTCTTGTTCTGACTACAAAAGGCATTTAAATATACCAAGCATTTCAAACAAATTAAACCCTTTCAATATTAGCAATTGCTCAAATTTTACTATAAATCTTAATATAAATAAGAATTAGAATGTTTCTGTTAGTACCTATCTTCTGTTCGAAT